AGCAGTGTGTTCAAACGCTAATACCCCATTCACACCTAGGCATACCGAGAATATACACACTCGTTAATGCGCATTTATTCCCACATTTGCTGCGCATATCTATTGATTTCAATGGGTGCTGCACGTGTGATTTATGCAGGAAAGTAGCTCATGTCGCCGATTCTGCTACAGGCGTTCCGGTTTTTTTCCATGTACAAAAACACACGTTTTACCGAACGTGTTTAGGGTGCCATTAAGGTATTCACATTTGAGAGTCATGTTTGCTTGCATTCAGACGAGTTCTGTTTTCTATTGATTTTAAAGGGGTCCTAAACGTGCGAGACACATGGGGAGAGGTAGAGCATGTAGCAAAATCTGCAACATGTATTTTTTTTCTTCCGCATTTGTGCCCTTTTTAACGTGCATCTTGGTTTGGGGTGCGGTTAATGGTAATAGGAGGAGGATAACATAGACATCGGCACTCCAAGTAATTAATCAATGGCGTCTGTTTATTGACGCACGAAACATAGCACAATGCATCAAAACGCAACGTTTCCGGGTCTCACAGGATCCCATTCATCAGGCAAACTGAGTGATGCAAACGCAAGTGAAACCATATACAGATATACACACCATACTGTGGAAATAAGCTAATCCCCAAGTCTCCCGTGATCATGTGACATCCTAATGACATCACAATCCCACTATAGTAAAACAATTGCAGGTGTGGTAATTAGGTGATGAATGCATAGTCTATAACCTTGGTTCTCAACTGGTGGGTCGTGACCCAAAAGTGGGTCGCGACACCGTGTTTAGTGGGTCACCGCATGCCTTCCACTTTTCTAGGTGAGAGACTCATTAGCCTTCCCTTAGCCTCCCCCATAGCGCAGCACTGTCAATTAAAAATATGCTGCCCAGTGTCAACTTGAGGTGGGGTGCACTGGGGGTATGGCTGCAAGGGAGCTCCATCCATACATGCATTGCTTATAGCTCACTCGCATGCCCTGTAGCGGTGCCAGGACTGGAGTGACATCACATTCTTGCTCCCGACACCTCTACAGGCGCACATAGGAACTGCACAAACAATGCACATATGGATGGAGCTCCGTCACAGCACAGGAGCCCACACTGCCGTGTGTTCCAATGCAGTGCAGCTTGGGTCGCGACTTAATGCCCGAGGACAAATGCGGGTCTTGAGGTTACACAGGTTAAGAACCACTGGTCTATAACATGCACCGCCTTGCACACTAAAGTTTTAAAAACGACATCTCCTATGCATGCAACCGACAGGATGTCGTCTCACCCAGGCATAGATGTCCTCTCCCTCGGACTCACAGATGCGCTCATAAGCACCTGGATACCTCTATGTACCCCTGCCGCGATATTTACTGATCACCAACTAGCCGAGCATGGGGTACTCCCTCTTCCTATTTAATTCCGCGACATAAATGTTTTATTTTGCTTACTATGTTTATATATATTGCAATGCATTTGGTATATTTTCTTGATGACCACCCGAGAGAGCAACTATTTGCTACTTTTGCACTTGATTTTTTTTTAAAAAAAAATACTATGTTATATATATATATAAATATATATATATATTGCAATGCAATTGGTGTATTTTCTTGATGACCGCCCGAGAGAGCAACTATTTGCTACTTTTGCACTTATTTTTTTTCCTGTGATCACTACCAAAACTTTTAAATAAAGAATTTATAATAGAAAAAAAAAACAAGCACCGCCTAGACAGATATGAATGTACGGAGAAATTGAGCAGATATAAAATACCTTGTAAATACACATAGGCCAGGTGCCAACCGAGCACACATACAGGCATGAGAAGCCATTTCGAGCAGTGGGGGAGTGGCCTATCGCTATCCGACATGTCCGGCCGCATATTGCATCCAGAATGTAGGGTTTGGCTGTAAATACAGTCCACGCTGGGATTGGCCGCACACCCACGAGGGTGTGGGATCGGCCGCGTCACCAGTTCCCATGAATGCGACGTTGACACCGAAAGCAAGCCCAACCTATGGTGTGAGCATGGCAGGGTGTAAGCCACACACCCCTAGGTGTCAGAGGCATTCCTGGGATTGGCTGCGGGATCAGCCTCGTCATCAGGTTGCCTTGAACTCAGCAGGGATACACCAGGTAAATACAGGAGAAAAAAAAACATCAGATCAAAAAGCACAAAATAACACAGTAGACTTGATAACTTTGTGGCATGATATAGAATAAATGCCACAAAGGACCATAACAACCGGAGCTCTAAGGGCGCAGGGTCTATGAGGTCACTCAAGGAGTTACCAGTAATAAAAATCAAATTTGTGAAGGGGCTCAATGATCCTGTGCCACAACGCATGTGAATACATGCATTCCAGTTGCATGGTAACTTCAGTTAGATAGATGTGTGCACAAAGAAGAAATATGCAGAGCATTTGCCTTTTTGATGCTTTTGGCGAATGTACGTTAAAGTGCACTTTATTAGTGAATTTGATACGCACACACAAAATGCTTAGATGTGAATAGGGACACACAAGTAATGGCATCGCAAGTGTGTTGCAGGTTTTTGACATGTTCCGCTTGATGCATGTTTGTTGTACATTCACGGAAAGCTTAGGTGTGAACAGGGACAAAAGCAGAGATAGGCAACCTCGGCATTCCAGCTGTCGTGAAACTACAAATCCCTTTGGGAGTCATACTGTACCTGTGGCTGTCAACATCTTGCAATGCATAATGCGATTTGGAGTTCTACAACAGCTGATGTGTCGCATAAAATTTGCCAAATGCGAATTCCTGAGCCTGTTACATCTCAATGAAATGCAGAAGTATGACAGAAAAGGACCAAGTGGTCCATTGAGCCCCTTTCCCCCCCTTTAACATAGACTTATGTTGATCTCAAGCATTTAAATTCACTTTAGGTCCATCAACAATTGTGTCTGGTAACACAGTAAGCCGTGCCTTGCGGTGCAAGTAGTTTTGACTAGCACCCCAAAGCACATGCCATGCGTTTTATTGGACGCCATTGAAAAAATGTACATGTACATTTTCAGCTGGGTTGTGGTGCATTGGCAGCCCGTTCAAAACTAAGGGACCTCGTCACTGGACCATTAATTTCCCCAATTTGATTATATGTACATTTGAAGGCAAATTCCACCTTTAAGTGCACACTTCTCCATAGAAGCAAAAAATAATTTGGGTGGAACATGAAATATGGTCATGTTATTTACCTGTAAAAGCAGGCGTGTAGACATCCAAAAGCCCGTCATTTTTGTTGGGCAACATCTGGGAGGTGGTATCAGCAGTCCCAGCAGAGTGAGACCTGTTACTCAAGTAACCTATAGAAGGGGTAGTTTTGCAGCGCCTCATGGGACTTGTAGTTCCACAACAACTGGAGTGCCACGATTGCCTACCCCTGCTCAATAATATTCCTCCTTATCCGGCTGCTAAAGAAATGATAACGTAGGTATGAAGGAGCTGGGCCAGCACAGATGCTAATTAGACACTACCAGAAGAGAAGAAGGATATGATGTGAAAAGGAGGGAGGAAGCTGTGCTAGGGAGCTGACACTTTCTGATGTGCCAATTCCCTAGCAAGTTCAGAGGCACATTGCAAACCAATGAAATATCCTGTATGGGAAAGAAAAGTGCTGCAAGTAAGCATATTGGTCTACTTGACCTTCTTGTGCTTTTTTAAGCTGGTGATAGGGTCTCTTAAAGGCCCGTTCACACCAATGCTGTGCGGTAATCACATAGTACCACGAGACATATTGAGTGCTGTATGTGTTGTGTCTGGGTTTCAGCTGGCCTGAAATCCGGAAGCAGCACATACAAGACTCAAAACCTGGACTGTCCAGTTGAATCTGGGACAGGTGGCAACCCTAAACGCAACACACCTATTGTGTATTACAGTGCGGCAGATGCTTTGCATTGCCATTCATTTGAATGGCACCCCAAACGCACCTCCTGGCCGCAATGCACTCAACCACACTGCAATGCGTGGTACTGCAATACCATGCATTGTGGTTGAAAAAAGTAGTGCATGCACTACTTTTTTTAACCGCACCACAGCTCATGTTATTGCAGTACTGCGCAGTTGAGCGCATCGAGGCCAGGAGTTGCATTTGGAGTTCCATTCAATGCCATTACAGTTACAATACAAATCAAGACAAAATGCTAACAAGCTTACAATCTAAAGGGAACAACATGCACTTACGTGCAGCAAAAGTGCTAAAGTATGAATGGGCCCTTACCGTTTTTTGTCTCACTACCATTACTGGACATCTGCTCCAAGCATCCACTACTCTTTCAATAAAATACTACTTTCCAATGTTACTTTTAAACTTTCCTCCTACAAGACTGCGGTCAAGCCATCATTCCTGACCTCAGCTGCCTCATTTGCCCAAATTGTTTTAGGTGAGAAGCAGTCAACAAGAGGTTAATTTCATGCTATCAATTGATTAAAAATATCACATGTAGGTGAACTCTGAAGTCTAGAACTCAGATGGTGTTCAAGTGGAACTAAGGACATTATTGTTGTTGCCTACAGCAAGCAAACATCTATTAGGATTTGGTTCCATGCCTTCATTTAATATAATGGCAGAATGCCAGCAGTTGCTACAGACAACAGAAGACTTGTTGATTCTAAATGGTAGTCTTAGCCATAAAAACTCTTCAATGAATGAGGAGAGGGAGAGCTTTAGCCCATAACCCAACTTATTAAAGGAATTAGTTCCACTTTTCGTACTGTGCTGATCTCATTTGTCTTTAATTATATCTGTTTGCACATTTTTGATGAGAAAAACAAACAGTCATTTAAGTATAAGCTGTTTTTTTGTTTTTTTTTAGATCCTTGAGGAACGTTCATGAACCTACCGTTGCAAAAGTTGAGATTACAAAATTTGTGTTTGAAAACTTGAAGGTAAAAAAAAAAAAAAAGCTTAACTGCTGTTTTTAATTTTTTTTTTTTAAGTCATTCCTTTCATTCCTGTGATCATCACCAGTTCACATTGGTAGTGCTAATGAGGGGAGGGATTGTAAATGTTCTTCAGTGGAGTGAGGAGGGGGAAAAGTGATATAAGCCTGAACATGTGATTAGCCCAATTAATGAGTGAGCAAGGAAGAGGGATTTCTTTTTTTTTTGCCTTGGTTTGTTTGAGGAGGGACACTAGGATGAATAGTACTACGGTGCTTTTAGCAGCTGGCACCCTGCTTCTGGTACTCCGTACTTCCTACGGACAGTTTCCCAGGGCTTGTAGTACAGCACAGGTCCTCTTAAGCAAGGAATGTTGCCCAATCTGGCCAGGAGATAATTCTCCATGTGGAGAAGCCTCAGGCAGAGGATCATGCCAAGATGTAGTCATCTCCAACTCCCCTGTGGGCACCCAGTTCCCTTTCTTGGGCATTGACGACCGTGAAAATTGGCCCATTGTCTTTTATAACAGGACTTGCCAATGCCAGGGTAACTTCACGGGCTACAATTGTGGTGAGTGCAGGTTTGGCTACGCTGGACCAAACTGCACCATCAGGCGCAACTTGATCAGAAAGGAGATCTTCAAGATGACCACGGCTGAAAAGGACAAGTTCATCGCCTATCTCAACTTGGCCAAGCGTACCATCAGCCCAGACTATGTTATTTCCACCGCCACTTACGAGCAGATGAACAATGGTTCCAATCCGATGTTCGCGGATATCAATGTCTATGATCTGTTTGTGTGGATGCATTACTATGCCTCCAGAGATGCTTTCTTGGAAGGTGGTGGCGTGTGGGCAAACATTGACTTTGCCCATGAGGCTCCTGGCTTTTTGCCTTGGCACAGGTTCTTTCTGCTGCTTTGGGAACGGCAAATCCAAAAGGTGGCGGGCGATGACAATTTCACTATTCCCTTTTGGGATTGGAGAGATGCCCAGCAGTGTGAGGTCTGCACTGATGAGTTTTTTGGGGGTACACATCCTACCGGCAACAACCTCCTCAGCCCAGCTTCCTTCTTCTCCTCCTGGCAGGTAAGTTCTGCCCTTGTCCTTCACCATTATCTGGCATGGTTGCATAGTTACCAACATTTTTAAATGCAAGTCCACCTAAAACCTTTTCGGTTTTGGATAGAGTTGGGGAGGATTAAACTCTCTGTTGGATTTTTAATGGGGCTCACAGAGATTTCATTTTGCTTACTAGCCCTATGTTCACCAGACAGGAAGTGAGAGAAAACATGCAACAGGGGCATAGGCAGCAATATAAATCCGGGGCTCTAGTCTTCTCCTACACTAGCATCTTTATTGATTTGTGCCCCTGTTGCAGATTTTCCATCACTTCCTGTCTGATGCAACTGCTGTCACTGAGATAGCAATTTACCCCCCTATGCATTGCTATAACATGTGATACTACATGACTTTTATTGCACTGTGTGTTGCAGTGCCATTCATTTTGAATGGCACCCCAATGCACAAATACAACACACCCCAATGCGCCTATACATTTTAACAGGGTTATTCACAAAAGGGTGAAGAGTTTGGAGAAGGCAGGAGCAGTGAACAATCTAGGACAACATCGCTGATTTGGAAAAATTCTCCAATTCAGCTCACTTTCCAGTTCAGCTATGTTGTCCTAGAAGATTGTTCACTTCTCCTGCCTTCTCCAAACTCTTCACCCTTCTGTGAATCACCCTTCTGTGAATAACCCTGTAAGTGTTAGGGTGTGCTACTAAGAAAATTGGTGCATGTCTTGGTTGGTTGGTTGCATAATGGTGCACTTTGAATGGGTTACATTAATGCAACGCACATTAACTTGTGATGCAGTGCATGATAATCTGCAATGCAAAGGTGTAAAGGGCCCCAAGTGAATAGACATCTCTCTAATGCAGCTCCTAATTGCAGTAGAAATCAAACAGTAAAAACCTTCCACACTCTATTCAAAACTATAAACAAACAGAAAAGTTTTGGTTGGAAAAATACTTAACGTGCAGTCCACACAAAACCATTATGTGTCTTTAGTGGATGCTGAAAGTGACTGCATGGCTACTACTTATCTTTTGGAAACGTTTGAAATGTGTGTTTAGGTTCTTGCTGTAGCCAGAGGGGATCCCACTCTCCTGCGGGGAATTCTACACTGCACTGCAACAAAATAAAACCTGCCCCTGACCACTCCTTATCTGTGTGTGCCCTTTTAGTGAAAATCTGTCTTTATCTACGGCAGGAATTATGTTGCAAACCCTCTGCAAATCTATCTCAGTTGGCTGGCCAGAATTCCAGGGGTCACAAATACAGAAAGAAACTGTCTCGTATTTTGCTGATTGAGAGAGAGAGCCTGCTTAGCAATAGATGAATATTTCATTGTGTACCCAATTTGCTTCATAAATACCCTATAAATGAAATCTGACTTTCCTGACTTTTTTTCTGCTGCTTTCTTATTCTGGGTCTGTGAGTTATAAATGCTCGAGACAGACAAACTAGCTGTCTATAAAAGTAGCCCAGCAATGGGAGCCCTGTTACTTTTTTCATGGTAGGCATCATTTTAAAAAGAATCATCAGTGTTTAAACTATTTAGAAGATGAATAATGTCCTGGGTTAACTTGTCATGCATGTGAGTAGTGCAGGGACTCTGCCCTAAGAAGAAGTGTCCCTAGATTGTAGTGTTGTAGCTTGCTGTAGTCAGCCTGAGCTCTGAATTGTCCTAGTTTTGCTTTTGTTGGTTTTCCCTAAGCTCAGATTATTATTTTTGCCTGCCCGTTCTTGGGGAGCGTTTATGGTGATGGAGCATGAAGATGCAATATTTCTAAATTATGAATATTTGTCTTTCTGACCAACTATTAGAAGGCTTATTGCCAGTGGTGCATGCTGGAGGAGGATATAAATATTGATGCCATGCTGGAGGGTACATCCAGAAGGAATGGAGATGGAAGATAGCTGCCTGTGTGGAGTATCTTGAATAGAGACCTCAATGCTGAAGGGTGTCCTGATGGAGCAGCAGATCATTGCTGACCATTAGTTGGGCATTTTTCAAAGTAACCATTCCACTGTGAGAATTCGCACAGCATTACCAGCTACCATAGTATCTAGGTTTAGGGTCACCATATATGCTACAATCTAACCATACAATTTTTGTACAGGCCACTTTAGATTTACCAAAACTATGTAATATGAGGACCCAATCAATCAATTTATCTATTCAGGCATGCCCTTGCACTACTTACTGGAGCTTTATCCCCTGCTAAACCATATATTATCTTCCAAGAGCATTTGGCCCTATTTTCACCATGTACATCCAATTTATTTATAACATTCAGTGACCAAACTCTTGGTCATTGGCCAGCTCTCTAACTCCTTACATATATGCAGCAAAGCACGTGTCAGGGTTGTCCCTGTCTGATTATAAGGACATATATAAAGCCAATCACAAAGTGAAAATCTCAGCATTTGCTAATTTACTATATACATTTTCAACCTGAAAGAAGCACTACCTAACATTCTCTCAATGATGACCCATTATGGCATCATTTTGAGATCTTCCATAAACTTGAACAAATCAAGAGCACCGCATTTCACCAAATACACTGAACCTCACGGACATGCCCCTTATCCATTTATCTGTAAGTGTAAAACACCCTATTTAGGAGTTTACGCTGGAGGGACAGATGAAAACGACAGGAAAGAAGATCGGATTAAGAGACATCATTTAAGGTAAGTGCTTACACTAACATTCGGGGGAGGGGAAAAAAAATACTTTAATGTCCCTTTTAAAGTGACAAACTTCGGAGCTAATGCATTCAAGTACTTTTAACTACTAACAAAAATTTAATTTATTTGTGTATCACTCGGCTGTAGATCCTCCAAATCATCTCTGAATTGGTGCTGACACTGTCTTTCCTTCTGGAGGGGGGCTACTTTTATTCCACATGGTCCCTGTGTGTGTTGTAAAGTAGTCACCGCTCCAAGCTCACTTCCGTGATGGACTACAGTCTCACCTTTTTAGTTTATTAATTTGTATTGCAAAAGATTGTAGTTCATCACGGGAGTGAGCTTGGAGCGGTGACTACTTTACAACACACACAGGGACCATGGGGAACAAAAGTAGCCACCCTCCAGAAGGAAGGACAGTTTTCCATCCAATTCAGAGATGATTTGAGGATCTACAGCCGGGTGATACACAAATAAGATACATTTTTGTACTGAGCAAATTATCATACAAAGCTTCGCATTGACTTCCTTGTACGCAACTAGAACACTTTCTAGTGATTCCGTGGGTTAAACTTCGTTAACCTCCTCCTGAATTATCTTCTTAGTGTACTTTTCAGAAACGCGCGCTGATGGCTGGCTGCCCTCCCCTAAGCAATCCTCTTGTCATTGTTTTATGTAATTGTGTCGCATTGTATTCTCAATGTTGCGCTTTCTTTCTTTTTTTCGTTGGCTTGCGATTCTTGCCACATGCCTATAAAAAAAATAATGTATGTGATAAAGATGTAGGTTGTTACTACTATGTCTATCTAAATGCATCTGTAAATAGTTACTCACTTGTGACTCCTATATAACAAAGCCTTCTATTGTGTTCCTTCGATTTCCTACTCTATCTCTATTTGTTCTCATATGATGTGCTTAATGGCAGATTAACCTCTGGCCATAAGACACTCTTGATATTCCAGCTTTCTGTCAATGGGGCAATTCATTCATAGAGTTCCATGCATCAGCAAACTGATATCCATCCCAGTTCATTGGTTTGTACTCGTTTGGTTTGTACTACGTGTATACTTGTGAATATGTAGTTCCATTACTCCAGTCGATCGGCTTTGTCAGAAACATTTTAAAGGGATTTGGATCACAGTCTTTTCCTTCTCTGTACAACTTACTGAAAGCCATTTTCCTATGTTATAGGTATACAGGCATCGATAAAAGTAACAAATGTGCTGCCATATTAAATGTTACAAAGCTGCATTCATTTATTTTTTAAATGCAAGCCGGGTATGTACCTGAATCTGACTTGGTCTCAGACCTTTGCAGTGAAATTAAAAATTGCATGTTCACTTCTAGAATCAGATGGGTCATAGTGCTGCATACATGCCTCTTACTGTCTACTTTATACCTAAATGCAGGGCCATTCCTTGAGGCAGCCTGAGGCTGTTGCCTCATGCGGCAACCCTTTGGGACATGCTGGGGGGGAGGGTGACGGACAGAGTGGCCCTGCCGGTCTGCTGCACAATGTTTGCTGCCCCCTTTTCAGCCATAAGGTCACAGGTTGTGAAGAGTCAGTAAGGGAGATGTGTAAGGGCCATACACCCATCAGCTCTCGGCAACCTGGGATGCAGTGGTGGAACTATCACCATGTCCGCCCGGGGCACATTGGCCCGGCCAGGATGAGGAACAAAGGGGTCCCCCTGATGCCGCCTGGGTCGCTATGGCATCACAGGCTGCTGGCTGGCACTGGTGGTTGTGGGGAGGAATGCGCCAGTGTTCAGATCACTGACGACCTGTCAGTGATCTGTGCAGAAGAACAGTAGAAAGGCATCATGGCACACTCACAAACTAGCATGTAAAACAACTTGTCTCACCACTAAGGACAATGACAGAGGTTTGGATACACGTCTGATCTGTGCAGAGGCGCGTTCCTCCTCAGCCACTGCTGAGTCAATGACAGCCAGCAGCAGCAGCTGCGGAGGAGGAGGCTGGGCGTGGCGTCGGCAGCGGAGGAGTAGGCGTGGCCCGGTGGTGGAGGAAGCTGACAGCAGATCGGGGCTAACGGGTAAGGGATGTGACCACCCCACCTGAGACCTTGCAGAGCCCACCATATAGTGTGGGCTCTGCAGGGTCACTCTCAGGTGGGCTGTTTGGGATCTCTGCAAGGGGCGTAACTAGAAATCACAGGGCATACAACATTTCAATGGGGCCTTGTGATTTCTAGTTATGCCCCTGCTGGAACACTGGGACCAGTGTCTCGCTCAGCTCCAGGCAACCAGTGACAACATCGGTGCCCCCCACCCCATGACGCCTCAGGGGGCATAAAGACTAGGGGCACCCTTGCCTAAATATTTTGTTGGCTTCAAAAATTGGTAGCGGATTACCAGTAGATGAGGTCAAAAAATATCTGTTCAGAGCTTTGCATCTCTTTCCCTGCTGCTTGATGTGATGCAATCTCCATTTCTCGAGACTACATACCCCATCATGCATTGCTTCCAGCAAGCAATGATGTCACATTGTTCAGACGTTGAGGTGTAGTTTAAAAGGCAGTCTCTGTGAGAGGGGTGTATTCACAGGGCTGAGTGAAATGGTGTCAGTGCATTGAAGAAGTCCGTCTTATAAGCATTTTCAATAAGTAAGTTTACAACTTCTAGATGGATCTGGTTATTAGGAGTGGGATAGAACTTATGGAAAGTCAATATAGAAATAGATATATTTTTAGCTTTTGACAATGATGCCCTTTAACGCACTGCTGTGCCATGCTTCCCCTTCCTTTCTCCACAGGCTGAGCAAAAAACAGTGGCTCAAGGATAGACAGAGGGTGTGGGGTGTGTGTGGTGGACAACCTTCTACTGTCTACGGTGGCCTTTTGGTTTAGGAAGACTTAAATAATTACATTAACGTTAATCTAAACCCAGTCACTAAAATCTCCTATAAGCTTTAATATGTTGTGTATTCAAACTCTGTCTTAATCTCTTTACATGTGCACCTATCATTAAATATTACCTGGTGATCCTGCCATTAAAGATCCACATTTAAACACTAAACAAAGTGAGAGGAGAGTCCGTAATGGCACAATTTTGGGGGAGCCTGTCTTTTTGGGCGCAGTTCCGCTACTGCATCTTCACCCTGCCACATGGCCCCTTGTGGAGACTGAGCAGCATTGACATACATTGCACTGTCACTATCAGAAAGCCTGTTTAGGGTAATGATGTACAGACCATGCTGGAGTGAGTGCATGTGGACAGGAAGTGGCTGAAAGAAGCTTGAGGGATTAGCTGCGTTGAAATGCAACACAGGATGAAAAAAGGGTTTATGAAAAGGCATTTTTTTAATGCATGTTACTTAAGCAAACTAAGTGTTTTAAAGCTGTCTATGTTTTCCTGCAGGTTATTTGCAGTCAGCCGGAGGAGTATAACCGCCTGAGAATTTTGTGTAACGGCACAAATGAAGGTCCCCTATTGCGTAGCCCTGGAAACCATGACACAAGCCGGACTCCCCGGTTGCCCACCTCTGCGGAAGTGGAGGCCTGTGTATCCATAACCGAATATGAGACTGGAGCCATGGATCGATCTGCCAACCTCAGCTTCAGGAACACTTTAGAAGGTAGGGATGTATCTCCGATTCCTCATAGGGAAATATTTATAAGAAAACCAAAGGGGATAAATCCAAACTGCTTCCCATGACTGGATGTGGATGCGGTTGGCAGCATATGAGCTCCTTTAGCCCCAGGACTGTAAAACAAAAAAATAGCTTTGCAAAGGGGCATATCTCAAACAAAGGCATTGCATTTTAAATCCTAATTTGCAGGTTCTCAACATGTAGTAATGAGCAAGTGTAATCAAGGGCAGCCAGTCTTCATAGGAAGCAATGGGGAATCCCTATTCAAAAAGGCATCCCTTAGAGTCAAAATATGGCTAAACGCAAAAATTAGATGTACAAAACAGTTTGCCTTTTAGTATTAACACATCCGTTTTTTTCCCTCCCCCTAGTATAGTTTCAGGTAGTAAATCAATTGATTTACCATTTTTTCAAAACATTTTTATTTTCATTCAAAAACATTTACATTTATGTATACATGGGTTTTGGTACGTTACATCGAGTAAAGTTACGCAACATTTTAAAACTGTATATCACTATAACTTTATACATCCCAATGGTCTTTGATATGCATTGAGGCTACAAAATACTTCATTGCGGCGTTGCGTGGTTAGGGGACCATGACCTCTCTGCGCCCGAAACAGCTATGTATTTTGACCTTCCCCTTCATATAAGCGATGGGGGAACTGAGAATTCGGAGCAGGCGTATATTCCTAGATGAGATTGTCCTCTTCCGTCTGTCGTAAGTCGTTTTGCCCCAATCTCACTCGCTATCTATGCGGCCCCAATGTTGTGTCGTAGCCCTAATGAAGGAGAACTGGAGTTGTTTCTCCTGACGTGTTTACACTATATTTTTGGAGCTCATGAAATTCCGACCTTAGTGGCTGGATGTGTCGAAACTGAAAACAAGTGGACATAAGAGCCTGATTCAGTTTTAGTTTTTAGTTCGCTCCCCTCTGCTGTTCGAAGATTGCACTAGAGGTGTATTTAAATGGAGATAGAAATTTCTCTTTCTCAGCTAGTGTAAAGGTCAGATTGATAAATGGCAACCATCTGTCATATAGGGAGGACATTTTTTTATCGTCCATCAATTGCATTTCTGCGTCTAGTTTTTCCAAATTAAGTAAGTGGAGAAGGTCTGTTCGCAGTCCCTGAATGGTAGGAGGGGTGGGAGCTAGCCACTCTCTCATAATACCTCTCCTAGCAGCCAGCAGAACGATACAGATCCAGTGTCTATGATGTCTACTGAACTCAGCAGGGTTATCCCAGTAGTTAAATAGAATTAAAAGGGGTACAGATGGTATCCGACATCCCACTACTATATCAATATAGTCAATGACCCTGGTCCAAAATGTCTGTATCATTGGGCACTCCCATAGACAATGGAACAATGAGGCCGCTTGGAGTTTACATTTGGGGCAGTGATCTAAATAACCCTTGTCCTTATCCTGTTTGCGCTTAATCTGGAATGCATAGTATGCTCTGTGCATGATTTTTATATTGCGTCTCTCCCCACTGTTCATTAACCATGACTTTACAGGTATTGTGATACCCTTTTATAAATTTTTTGACTATATGTTCAGTAGCAATATCGTCTTGCCACTTTAATTATATTCGAGTCAGTCAGGGGAGGGATATAGGCTTGTCTCAGATGTGTGTATATGTCCGAAATAGACTGTTTCCCTGTTGTAAGAATCCTCTCTATGAGGGAGCTAGTGGAGGAGTGGGGGCGAGCAAAACTCAAACTGCGCATATGAGTAGTCACTTGTGCAAAGTGAAGATAGTCTTGCGAAGGGATCTGGTAGGTGGCTCTGAATTCGGGGAAGGTTAACAGTTTCCCAGAGTGTTTGGATATAAAATGTATAAACTTGGTGATCCCCTTAGTTTCCCATTTACCAAAGGTATCATACTCCTCCCCCTGTGGGAATGATGGGTTGCCCCTAACGTGGAGGTGTTTGGAAAAGTATGGATTCAGTTTCGCAACCTTGTGTGCTTCCCTCCATGCCACTACAGTGTCCCTTATAATGACATTAGTGCGTAAAGTGGGCGGTATTTTTGAAAATGGACAGTGCAGTAGGGAGGATAGTTTCCATGGATGGGCCATTTCCGTTTCCAGCTGAAAGTTGGAGTAATACGAAGTTGAGTTTATCCAATCCCTTGAGTGTCTAAGCAGGCAGCTCAAGTTATAAAGTCTGGCGTTGGGAAAGGCCATGCCTCCCTCATCCCTGGGCAGAAACAGTTTTCGTAGAGCAATCCTTTCCCTCTTACCTTGCCAGACAAAGGCAGAAAAAGCTTGATTTAAGGACGTGACCTCTTTATGCTTCAGGAGAAGGGGCAATGTCTGCATCGGATATAATAGCCTGGCGAAGGGTATCATTTTTACTAAATGTATTCTGCCAAAGAGAGAGAGAGGGAGGTCTCGCCACATGGCCAGCTCCTTTTTTATCTTATCAAAGAGAGGGGGATAATTCAGGTTGTATAGGGAGGATGGGGTGGTACCTATGTGGAGACCTAGGTATATTATTGATCCCTTGGCTATGCTATATATATATTTAATGGGCCTAGTGAGGTTGCAGAGGGAAGTTAGGGGGAGGATAGTAGTCTTGGAAGCGTTGATGGACGGACCTGAAATCTTTTGATATTGTTGGAAAGTGGCTTGGATGGCAGGAATATTTTAAGTTGCGAATTTTGGAAAGGTACCCCGTGGACGTCTGGAGTTCTCTGGAAGAATACTGACAGCGGCTCCAATGCTACGTTAAATTCTAATAGGTTGGACTTGATGGACTAATGTCTTTATTCAACCTCAAATACTATGTATGTAAATAACAGCGGGGAAAGTGGGCATCCCTGTCTAGTTCCCCTTAGCAGGGGGAAGCTGTTGGATATGTTTCCTGAAGTACAAATACGTGCGCTAGGAGAGGCATACATTGCTGCTAGGAAGGTCTTAAAGCGGCCTGAAAACCCCATTTCCTCCAGTACTCTATATAGCCACGAGAATTGTATGCTGTCAAATGCCTTTTCGGCGTCTATAGATATAAGTGCTAGAGATGAGGTTGGGTGGTGCTTTGCGTATTCCAAGACTGATAGCAGTTTGCGTATGTTAGATACCGCCGAGCGGCCTTTGAAGCCCACTTGGGCTGGAGATATTAATTTCGGTAGCAGCCTTGCCAACCTATCCGCTATGATTTTTGACAGCAGCTTTGCGTCTGTGTTGATTAGGGAAATTGGTCTATGCGAGCCTGGAAGAGTCGGGTCCCTGTCTTTTTTGGGTATTAATCTAATATACGCCTCTGAGCCCGTTCTCAGATACTCTCCTCCCTGCCAAATTTCGTTAAATACCCCATGCAACGTGGGGGAAATTTCTTCTTGAAGTAACTTATAAAACTCATTTGTGTAGCCATCTGGACACGGTGATTTGCCATTGGAGGAGATTTTGAGAGCTTTCTGGATCTCCTCCAAGGAAATGTCTCCGTTTAAATATGAGAGATCTTCGCAGTTTATTTTAGGCAAGGAGAGCGGTTTTAAAAAGAGGTCGCCTAGCTCCTTGTTTACAGGGGTAGCCGAGTATAGTTTTCCATAGAAGTGTTCAAAAATTTGATTTATGTGTTTCGGGTCAGATGTCGTAGTCTCTCCCTCTGTGCGCATGGATGCTATGTGTGTCTTAGCAATTCGGTGGCTGGCCAGATTCGCTAACATTTTACCAGATTTATTTCCGAATTTGTGAAATTTTAGCCGGGAATGATTATGATAGCATAGGTGTTGTTGTGTATTCAGGGCCGGCCTTAGGCCTTTAGGCGCCCTGTGCGAGAAAGCTTTACAGCGCCCCTCAGTGACCACACCCCTCAGTGGCCACACCCTTTAGTGGTCACACCCCCAGTAACCACACCCATTTAAGCCACCTCTGCTGCAATCATACCGTGGTCCGATAGCGCCGGCATGTCTTCCTCCGAAGAGGTGCTCGCATCCCGCATGTCGGGAGTGGCGGCCATCTTGGGCTGTTTTTGAGGCCGCTTTCCCCGGACAGGAGTGCCTTTGCCTCTTGGACCCGTTCGGCGTTTTGCAAGGAACTTGTCCATTTTCCTGAGGGGACAGGTAGCAGAGCAGGCTGTCGGCAGGCTAGATCGCGCTGCTGAGGTCCTATTTTATATATAGATTAGTCCTGGCTATTCGGGAGCTCTGCACCCTGCGCCCGCTACATCAGGCGCCGGAACCGGAAGTCTTGATTTACCATTTACTTTAGCAACGTAAACCATAGTGTAATGTTTAACATCGCTATCCTTTGGACAGGGGAGTTTTAGTCTGATATACAGGTTTAAATTAACTTTTAAGCAATAGACAAACTAAAGTCCATCTCTAGCTAATGCTTTTTAGGAAATTGCATATGTAATATAATGTACAGTTGCCAAAATACTATATTTTTTGTGCTCTAGTAGACCTTTAAAGTCTAACTGCAGCCACGCAGATTTAAAACTGATCTACTTTCTATGCTTTCTGGCAGGCTTAAAGGGAACTCCTGGACATTCCCCCTCCATCCTGTAGCCCCACAGTATTTATTTGTAAACAAAAAATGCATTCCCTTTTCCTGTAGTCTTCTATCTAGTCTGGTGGTGATGTGGCATCCTTCTTCTGGTGGCAATTATTCTTGCCAGACTGAGCAACACTCACGTAAATGACAGTGCATCTCAGCCCTGGAGTCCTTTTTGAGCTCAGCTGTGTTGATGATCCACGCCCTAGGGGGCTTGAAAATGACAGGATGGACTCACAAGATATGACAGCAGTGACATGACTGTGTTTCTTCCCAAAGAGGGCTGCCTTTTTGATTTATTAGAATGGTGATGCCTTTCATTTTGGCTGAGGTTGTGGAGTGGAATGCCATAGTGCAAAAGTGATTTTCGGGATCCCTTTTAAAATGTTTCTTGAATAAATACAATTGTGCCTTTGCTCACCTGGCCTCCTCCATAAGAGAGGTTCCCTTTTTCAGGGGTGTTTTGAGCCTTAGCATTAAGTGACCTAAAAGAAAGTTTCCCCTCCATTCCAATCTCCAACAAAGAGTAGGTAATTGGGATGTACAGTATGGGAAGTATGAGGCAATGGTTCAAGTGGGGTAAAGGGGATGAGGACAGTGGGACAGGAGGGAAGAGACAGGAAAAAAAGGAGGGTGACAGTTGGAAGCAAGTGGGGGGGGGGGGGGGGGGGGGGGGGGGAT